CTATTTTATATAACATATATCTTTTATATAACATATATTTTATATCTTTACATAATGAGGCCACCTGTTTGCTAGCCAGGCCAAACCAAAAGTAGTGGTTGTTGCCTCATGCTGCAGTTCCATAGCTAAGGTTCTGCCTTATTTTTTCCACCACAACAGCCTGGGTTTTGTTCCTAAATCAAGCCCTTTCTGGTTTGATACTTGGTACTTCTGAAATAGCAGTAATTTTTCCTAGCTGAAATATGGTAATGAGATTTTAAAATATTTTTTTAAAAGAAGCTCAGTGGTTAAAATTAGCTTAATTAAAAGCTAACATCCAAGATGTGTGTGTGTATGTGTGCTTGTGTGTGTTTGTATTTAAAAGGCCTTCATGTTTTAATTTTTTTTCCTCCTAGAATCTTGTCCTTTTTCTTTTGAGCAAGAGTGTTTTTCTTCTCAGTTGACTGAATTCTGTTTTCTTCATTTACTTCTGCTGTCTCTCCTTTCTCTTGTATCCTCTGCTGCATGAGGGGCCTAAAATAGTTTATAATAGCCCGGGGTTCCTTAAAGAAAACAGAGAAGGTACCAGACTCCCTTCGGAGGAGAATGCTGTTTTTCCCTATGGGAACTCTAAGAGTGTAAACAGACAAGTTCAGTTCAGCTTTTAAACTGCTTTCTTTGGTATTGTTACCTGATTTATTGACTAAAATAGTTTACTGCAACAGAGGCTACTCTTGGGTTTTTAAAGAAGGGTGTCGTTTAGGCACTTAGAAATGTCTTCGTTTAAAATTTTTTTTTTTTTTTTTTTTTTTTTTTTTATGTGCACTGTGAAAACATGATGTGGTCTAGCCTCATAATAATTCTCCCTTTTTGGAAACCCAGGATTCGGCATGGGCTTTGCCTAGAGCTCAGCAATCCAGTTAAAAGATAGGTAGTCACTGTCTAAATAAAATTGGTCTCCTTATACAAAACTATGAAATATTTTTATAATTTTATGTTTGATTTGGCATCCATCTTTAATCTCCCTCTAGCACACCAGACTTTTTCTCTCCATATGTTATGATACAAATTTTGCCATTTGATTTTCACATGAGTTGTTTCCTTTAATATGCAAATTTAAGTCTATTTAGCTGAAAACTGCCTAGGGTTGTGAAATAGGTTAGACATTGTGAATGTCTAACATAGGGGGAAAAAAAAGGTTTTCATTAATCTATAAGATGTACTTCTATTGGCATGCCTAATATATCTATGCATGTGTTTTGTACACAATGTTTCATTACTGAAAAGATATAAAACAACACTAATTAATTGGCTTAAAGAAAAATAAAAGCACTTGAATCGAATACTTTATCAGGAAAAAAGAAAAGATGAGTCAAATGCTTTTTCAAGTTTACATAACTTCAGTAAAATCTTTAATAAATAAACTAGCTTTTCAATTATTGGTAAAGTAATATTAGAAATGTCTTAAGAATTGTCAACATACATTTTTGTTTGCATTTATTTAATCAAGCAATTTCATACTTATCCCTGCCAAATACTATAAGATGTCAAAATCTGACATAGGGGTTACAAAACTATAAACCCAGCCCAAGACAAAATGATCTTTGCTTGTATAATCTTTAATAAGTAAGATATTGATATTGATTTAATAAAAAATAGCTACATCTTAAATTTAGTAAGATTACCATAACTTCTAATCTTGTGGTTTTAGGCAGTCTGGTCCACAGGCAGTAAGGTTTGTTTTGGGAAAGGACCGTTATCATCTTTGTTTCAAAGCTAAATTATAAACTAAGTTCCTCCCAAAGCTAGTTCAGCCTATGCCCAGGAATGAACAAGGACAGCTTGGAAGTTAAAAGCAAGGTGGAATCAGTTGGGTCAAATCTTTTTCACTGTCTCAGTTATAATTTTGCAATGGCAGTTCCATAACTTTAAATGATGACTATCACAGTTTTCATAAATAATTCAGGTAAACAATTAAAATAATTAGGTAAATGTAATGGGATAAATACTTGTAGACAAATTCATCATAATTTAGAATCTAAAGTTAAATTATAGATATTTCATTATTTGGGTATTTTCCAATAACAATATATTTGTAGGAAAATATTCTTTTAAAAAAAGAGTGTCCTTTTTAAAAAGGTGAATAATTTTTGTTTAATTCAAAGCTTATTTAAAGGTCATGTATTAAACAATGTAAAAGGAACCAGGAAATAAGAGAGATGTAAAGAAAGTTATAAAAATAAAGAGGTTTGCTTGTTTTTTGTAAGAAAGCTTAAAGAGAAATAATTTCAATGAGAAAGAAAGAATCTTGTATGGTAAATTTAGTCCTAGAGTAGAATGACTGATTGTTTAAGAGAGAGGGATATTCAGGACAAACCAGAAAGTCCAATCATGCCATGAATGGTCTGTGTAAGTCATGATAAGAGGATTTCTTAAAAAAAAGTTATATAATCAAGTTGTCACATTATTATTAAGTTTTGGTTTGCTTAGGAAAAAAGGCTGAGATTAAATTGTTTTAAAAATTAAGGTTATTACATCTGTGTATCCTTCTGTATGCACTTTTAAAGTACTTATGAGATTGAGTTACAGGGCTTTGACTCTGTCTAAAAAGGACACCAAGTCCTGCTGAATTTTAAACACTGACAGCAATTAAGGCCCCATCTTCAGGCCTGGTAGAAGATGTCAATCAAAATAAACTGCATTCCCGAGACACAGGGCCAGAAATTAAAGCTATTCCACTTCTCAAGGCCCAGGGACTACCATGGAAGTGATGGGCCCGTGAGATTATAAGGGCCAATTTGGAGGGATAAAATAAGTTTAGTTTCTCTTTAATCATCAATGTCAAAAGCACACTGATATAAGACTAGCATATAGGTGCCTGTGTCAGTTTAACAAGGTTTTCATGAAGCATTAACCAATTCCTTCATAAAGTTTATAAAGGTTACAAAAGGCTATGGAAGTTATATCTTATGGTCAAGATTAAAATTTTATAGATTATTTATAAAAATTTGAAAAACAAATTTAATTGGCTTCATGTTGTCTTTACTAGGGCTTATAATTTGGAAAATTAAGTCTCTTCTCTCAAAGAATGAAGGTTTTTGCTCTTTTTTTGAAATCCTTGAGTTATCACTTTGGTTAAATGAAATGACTTATTTTACAATAACCTGTGATCCTATTTTGTGATATCAAGTGTTTTAAACCTTTGATAATTGACAAACTTTCAAAATCAAATTATAAATTATGTCTTTTCCTGATCTAATTAATCCTTTAAGATATTAGGTTCTTTAAAGTCCAAAAATGACATATTTGGCTTATTTGGTATAAAAATTATGCAGGAAGCACTGTCAAATATAAAATGATGTTTGGTTTTCTTTAGCCTGTATTTGTATAAATATGCTATTAGTATGTGTTCCAAAATTATGGAAAACTCCTATAATTTTGATATGAGTTAATGTACATTATCAGTAATAATTATAATTGTGTTAAATTATTGTGTAAAATTATTGTGTAACAAATTTTCTTGTCAATTGTGTCTTTAATTATGGCTGCCCTAAAACTTTTGTCATCCCCAGGCAATTGTTATCTTGTTTTGGTGCTCTTTAGAAGCACCAAAGTTTTATAGCTGGTTTTATAATCAGCTATAAAACTCTTAATAGGTGTTCTCAAATGCAGGTTTCTGATAATTTCAGAGACTGTGACATCAGAATAGAGGAAAAGCTTTCAGGACTCGTGGGAAGCTGAAATATTCATGAATATCAAGCAGAACAGGAATTAACTGCATAGACTAAGAGAAGTCTGAAGTAATCTTTTTTTTTTCTTTCCTTCAATGAAATCCTCGTATTTTGAAAAGATATGTTTTTCTTCAAGCAACAAAGGTGGTAGAGGAAATTCCTCAACTTTCTCAATGAGTCCTGTAATGTTACACTGGCCTCCATAAAGCACCGATTAAGAAAGCTAAAGAATAAGATGTTGTATTTCTTTTAAAATAATTTAATATATATTAAATTTTCCTAAGGCAGGTTTTGTTTGAATGAGGTGTCTTGATTAGATAACTACATGCCACTGAAGGAGAACAGTACTTTTAAGGAGCTATTTTTGTTT